AAATTAAAAGACCACATCGAACCGAATACAATTATGTGCATCTCTACTGTGTGTGTGTCTGTATATTTTGTACAACAATAGATTCTTTGTTGAACGGTCGACCGTTTATTCCAAAAAATTATAACGTTTTAATCGATAAGCGAACAATACGCTAGTTAATAAATTGACATATGATTAAATATATTTGACGTACTTTGGGCAATATGCTGACAAGCATATCAAAATATTTATTCAATGTAATCGAGCAACCACATGCCAACTAAATAGTTTTCAACGTTAGCCGAGCAGCAAGCCGCATGTTTCGAAGCCCATTGCCGTTTTTTTTTTTTCATTTTATTTTGTGTCTATGTGAGAAAAAAACGCGCTTACAATGCACATATTCTCTCAACTTGAAACATTTTTGAACGTGTCGCTTCATCTGCTCATGAATTTTTGATAAAATATTAACTATATAAATAAACAAAAAAAATATGCTTATGACGTTGAATAAAGTACGCAGATAAGAGAGGCATATATACACGCAGACACTCGAAAAAATAAAACTGGTTCTAGAAAAAATAAAACGAGATACAAATAATAAATGGAATAAACAAATTAAAATGTAGAAATTCGCTCGGTAACGGTCTTGTGACCGATCAAATCCGATGTGACATTTCCACATTTCAAACGCGTATCGGCGTCTCTTTCTCTCAATAACTCTTTTCTCTCACTCTTTTATCGCTACCGCTGTGGCTCTCCATCAAGGCAGAGTACACTCATTTATATATATATTTTGCACAGATACTCCAATACTGAATCGAAAGCATAAATGTTGTTCAGACATGCATACATAATGTGCAATGACACGTGTCACAAATCACAAATTTTAATTGTTATGTGACTATAAGCTCTGGCCATCCAAACAACTAATGAACTTATATCGTTGCCACGGGATTACCAGAGAGTTGCAGAGAATCAAAGAGAGAAAGAGTACGAGCAATATCAAGAGTCAAGTCTCGATAAATATTTCGATGATGCTATCTGCAAATGAAATAAAATAGCTCAGTGGGTAGTCCAATTAGTTCAAATGTATGTGCATACTATATGAAGTTGTAAGTAAAAAAAAATCGTCGGGGCGTGTGGGTCGTCGTTGATGTGTTCACTTTAGCTGATTAACAATTTGAAGCAATTTCATAAGCCGCTAATCGAGCACGGGCCAAACAAAACATTGAACATCAATTAAACCAAATGATTTCTTCAATTTTATAAAAATTCTGAAATAAAATTGTATTCGTACAAATTGATCAATCTATAGACAACTTCATTTATTCATCGATCTTTGACGAAAATTATTTTTCTTTTTTGTTATCATCATCGTCTTCATTGCAATTTCAATCGGACTAAAATGTATTGATTGCGTGTTTATGTTTGCGGAAAACGATGCGAATAGTTAAAGTTAGTTATATCACGAATGCATTTCAATTCAAAGTGACATAAAATTTGAATGTTAAACGAAGTAATTTATGAATTAAGCAGAGAGACGGAGCGTGCGGTAGAGGCAGATAAAAAAAAATGATAAATATTGTCAGTGTGTTTGAGAGTGAGGTTGTTGTGTTCTCGATTATAAAAGTGAATGCGTATTATTTAATTGCATTTTAATTGTTTGATTTGGACATAGAATGTATTGCACATATACACAATTGCTAACGTAGCAGTTAGCCATCAAATTTATCGAACACTATCGATTTTAAAAATAAGTTTAAAAATATATTGGATTCACTTGTTCCATATCGATAGTAAAACTTTTGACAAATATTTTCGGGTTAAAATCTATATTTTGGATCCGTCACAGGCATTAAGTAAAAATTGTCTTGTGATGAAGTGCCATTGACATAGGTCTTTAATACAATTCTCCGTCCGTGTGAATATATTCCAGTTTTGAATTATTGACATTGAACAGAGGACAAGAAACGAACGCAAAAAACTGAACGAGACAACAAATCAAATAAACTTAAATCTTTCCCATTAAAAAAAAAGTTGAAGTTTGGAAGAAATAATCAAAATATTCCGTAATCATTAGGCTTTCAATAAAAGTTCAATCGGCTACGTATACTTCTGTAGTAATATCATTCGTCTTTTCTATGCACGACACTGACACGATGAAGGAAAAAAAAGATGCAGGAAGTTTTTAAACACGCAAAAAGTAAAAAGGCTAAATCAAAAGCATTTCCGTTCAATTAAGTGTTGAGTTACTTTTTCTGCTACTTCATTTGCTCACAACAAATTAAACTAATTTCAAATTAAATTTATTTCTGACTGCAGATACTTAGTGTACATTTCTAAATTCAGTTAATTATATACGTTGTGCGTTTATGTGTGCCACCATACATATACTTAGCGATAAAAGAAGAAGAAATAAATGAAAAATAACATGAATGGTAGCGAACAAGAGGACACTTAACATGCACATCTTTATCTATTTATCCGTGGGTATAAAGAATGTGACGTATGTTCTTTGCTTCACTGCCAATGCAATTATTTCTGGCGAAATGATGTTTGTTTGTGTGTTTGTTGTCGTATTTTCATTTTATGAATAAAAATTTCATTTTATTTTACATCTTTTACCTGAATGAACTGCATGGATGAATGACCCAATGACCGGCAGTTTTCTGGCGTATTCGTTCTTTGACTAATGCCTTTTTGCTGCCAAATAATTTCATCGCCAATCGATTGTCGGTTGGCTGAAACCATGATTGTAGCTGGTTTTTCAAAAAGTTTGACGACATTTTTTCGCTTATCGTTTGTATGTTCGGTAATAGTTCCTCCTTCGGAGTACCATACAACGAAACGTCGTCAAAATGAACCTAAAAACATATTTCGATGTTCCGAAATTCCATTATGAACAACCCGTAAGAGTACCCACATGTTGGAAGCATCCATGTGATAAACGTTGTCGTCGTCATCGTTATCGTCACCAAATAAATCACACAAAGAAAATTTTAAAGGAAAAATTACAACAATAAAATTAGTAAAAAGGTTCATTTTTTGGTTTTTTTAGGCTTTATTAAAAGCATCTTTTTTTTGCACGATAAAGCGACCTAAACTAATTTTCATTTTATTCTATATTTTTATTCAAGTTTTTTTTTTTTTGAGTGGCTGTATGTAATTGCGGTCGCTCCTCTCCTTTTTGGCCAGAGTGAAATTTTGTTTTGTATTTGTGAATCACAAAACAATTATGAATTTTCAGTTGCATACCAAGTGAAATATTTTTTTTTTCTGCCTCCCAAAAAGAACCGGAGATAAATAAATCTAAATGCAAAATCGGTTATATTCCATTCTTGTTTTGAATATTCAACACATTATGCACCACAATTTTTTTCCTTCCAGAAAAGTGCTGAATGAAAAGACACAAAACTTCACTGTTTGTCACGCTTCGCTTATTACAATTATTTAAATTAGTAAGCACTCAGAAAATGTGGTGGGAATTTTTGCGAAAAGGGTTTGGAGAGTCGCAAATCAAAAGGTTCACGGATGAATACATATTACTGGTGTATACGAGGAGGAAGGATAAAGTGAAAAGTAAGGAAATGTTCTTTCAAAGAAAGAAAACCTGAAACACCGCACAATGTCACCCAATAACTAAGTCCCGTTGAACAAATAAAGTTTAAATTTAACGCAAAATGTGATTTACTTCATCCACTCTTTCTTTCACTTGCTTCATATTACGAATGCGATGGATTTTTTCTTCTTCGTTTCTAGTCTTTTACGAATTGGGGCATGAAAACTCAAACGCTTCAAATCAACATCGACTGGCGAATGGTACAATAATTTACCGTTTAATATTTTGCGCACCATACAAACGACTAATGAAAACGAGCAAAATAAATAAATAAATGACGAAGTAAGATCGTCTATTGCTATGAAAGAAGAGAATGAAAAGAAACAATGTGCAAAAAACATGAAATACAAGTTTCGATAACGACTCAAAGTTGACGGTACAACAATGTTTTGTTTCAAAATATCGAAGCTTTGTAATCGATACTAGAAAAATTGCCAGAAAGTTTGCGAGTATTCTTTATTTTCGGCGAACAATGTGAGAGAAATTACTCAAAATCGATTAGCAGCCATTTTCACTATTGGAGGTGGAAAACTAACAAATTTATGAAGAAAAATTTTGCGATGTGGATAGTTAAAGCGTGCACGGCTCGATTGTTGTGAAAGATATAAAAAATGTAACACACGAAAATGCTCATTATATGCATGCTCTCTTCTTGTCTATTTCACACAGTTTGATCATTGGCGGAATGTGATGGTTTTTTTTTTTTTCATTTACAGGATTTTCCGTGTGTTTTTACCATAGTCGTTTTTTTCAATTTTCCACTCTTTTGATGTACCCAGCACATGTATTCGTAAATAGTAGTTGAAATTCAATAAAGGAAAAAAAATGTGGTATAGGTAGCACATATGTATTTTAATCCTTCGCCCAAACATATTTACCATCACCATTGAAACCAGAAACGTACACATTAATGAATATCATATAATGTGAAAATATCAACGAAAAAATCACACCATGAATAAGTAAAACTATAAATATATTTCACATACGTTCTATTTTGTTTCCTTTGATCAACGTTGTGACTGTCACTAGTTTTGCAATTTTATGATGAATCATTTTTCGATGAGAGTTTTCATTTTTTTCGATTTTCTTCTTTAATTCATGAAAGATAAAAACAAATTCACTTCAGCAACTGAAAATTCAACGAAATTCACTGAGTATTTGAAGAGGAACCGCTTTTTTGGTGCAATTTTTTTGTTATTTAATTAAGTTTTTTCAAAATAATTTAAAAAAATGTGTTTTTTTTTTCACTGAAACACTTACGAGGAGTAAAATGAAAGTGATTTGATCAAAATATTTTCTATTAAGTTAACAGTAATTTATTTTGTGTGCAAAACATGCGATTTTGTGGAATGTCATCATAAAACGAGACCGATATTTATATAGATAGAGAGAGAGAAAGAGAGATAAAAAAACAAAAACGAAAACAAAATGATGAAACAATGAACCGAGAACACACATACACACGAGAGATATATCCTAGGATATTTTCCTGTTATTTCGCCGATAGAGACGAGATTTATGCGCGCAAACACTGTTAGGAATGTGTACACTACTATTTTGTGGTGAAATCAAATGAAACACGAATAAAAAAACCATAACAAAGAAAAAGTTTTGTTTTATTTCAGAGTTTTCTTTGTTATGTATGAATAGCAAAACTTTAGGAATCCAAACGATGCGGTTAATTCGTGGAATAGCTTTACAAACAAACACACCGACATGCTGACGAAAAGAGAGAGAGAGAGAGAGAGAGAGAGAGGTACATAGAGATGCACAAACACGAGCCATGATTGTTGCATCAGAATGTAAAATTTGGTTGGAAACATTCATCCCTCTAAAAATACCGTAACTACTTGTGCTTGAACTTTATGATCCAATTTTATATTACTAGATATTGTAAGCGGGATTCCTCATCTCTCACAATTTAATTACTATTATTGCTTTTTTTCGTGTGCAAATATGTACCTTTTTTCGTCAAGAGCTGTGGTACTTCATATTTCAAGTGAGATCTGTTTATATTATACGTTTGAAATGTAATGGAAAAGCTGTCAAAATAACGCTCTCCCTTCGAAATCGATGTGAATGTGATTTCATGAGTAGAATTTTTTTTCACCAGGGACAGGGACTCACCACATGAGTGTTGTGATCCACGAGCAAGTTCGACGTGCTTATGTGTGTACGTGTATACGAAGTCAAAGTGAAACAAAGTTTGAATTATATTGAATGTTTCATATACGTCGTGAGAATGAGTGACGTTGCGAGCGCCAATCGAATCACTTGAATTTTTAATTAATTTTTTATGTATATCGCTATGCTTAAAATTGCAATAGAATCTAATCGAAGGTGGTTAATATTTATTGCTTGGCGTTCAAAATGAGCTAGGATAATACCAATATGATTTAAATTGGAATTGTTTTTTTTTTTACATCTTTTCAAACAATTTTTCGTTTGAAATGCCAAAACATTTAGGCTAATTGTTTGAAAACTAAAATCGTTCAAATATTCCCGAACTTAGTGGTAAGGCAAAGAAAAATGTTAAATATTTAGATTAAAGAAACATCAAAGTTGTGTAGAAATCAAAAAGATTTATAGAGACTGGTTCGAATGAAAATAAAAACGAAACAAATACATTCAAAAGTAGTTAGGTGATGATTTGAGAGCAGGAGAGAAAAAAGACATCGGCTAGACGAACAAAATGATTAAATATATGGGGAATTATAATAATATACGAATTCTACGAATTGAGAATGAAGGTAGAAAAAAAGAAGAGTTAAATGCATGACACAACTAGATTTTTATATATCGTCTACTAACTACAAGTCCTTCTCTTTTAATCGAATATTTAAATATGTATTATAGATATTTGTAAATATTGAGTGATAGGCATAACCATGGCATTTACAAACCCGTCGACAGTTGACAAAACCAACAGTGAACAACATAAACAGATAAATTGATTAGATTTTACATGTTAATTAAAACACTCAAATCACATAGTTAATATTCGCATATAATGTTCCACACATATCACGCAAAACAAAAAATAAACACAAAAACTCGCATTTACGCATTCGCAATACTCACGCACACACTGTATCACACACTTCATACTCTTTCCCCTCATTCACGCACATCAAATGCACAAATCTGAAGTTTTACAACAGTTTTTTTTTTGTTTTGCTTGTCCTGAATGGCAATTTATTTTTCATTTTCTCTCATTTCAGCGACCCATCATGGTTTTTCCATGTGGGAATTTTTCATTTCGTTTTCTCTCAACAACATTTTCTATTTATCTTTCACATTCTACATACATATCATCCATTCAACGACTATATGTATTAGCTATGTATTTCTCTACAATGAAAAAAGCGTAGTTCGTTGGTTCAATTATTTTGTTTGCGAAAATTTTGTTTTTGTTTTTGCATTTTTATGTTGAGTTTGAGTTATTATTTTCTCTCTTTTGGCTTTTGCTCTCGGGCATCAAACGAAAATATTAATCCCTCAACATTTTACAGAGAGATATGATTCCACGTTTCTACATATTTAATTGTTTTGTTAGTTGTTATGTTTTGTTTTTAGTGTATATGTGGCAGTGATTGTTTCATGTGTATGTGTGCTACAGTGAGGAATTGATTGATTGATTGATTTACCTTTGTTCTTGCCATTTCGTTTGTTGCATCACATATTAACAGAGCTTCATCGTCAAGCGCTGTTACTAATGAATCTGTACAGGTGTTATCAACCGAAGATATACGTAAATCACTTTCGTTAGAATTAATAAAATTTGTACAACGAATGGAATCAGAACTAACCGTTCCTAACAATCTGAATGAACGCAATACAATAAGGAATATATAAAGATTAAAGATTTTTTTTATAAATAACAATTTTGATTTGTTGGTTGTTTGATTATAATTATGTTTGTGTTTGTGTATGTGTGTGATTTTTTCCAGATTTATTAATTAGTATAAGTCTTAATATTTATTATGTTATTCAGTCTTTGATGTGTGTGTGTTTTGTTTATGTTTTTATTTCGGTTAATTAAATGACTGAATGGAATATGGTTGATATATTTATATATGCATATAAAGTTTCAATGCGCTCGTCAAGTGAAATGATTGATTTCAGTTGTTTTTTTATATTTTTCATTTTGTTCTCGTTTGTCTTTTTCATTTAGCAATAACAATAACACAGCTATGATTTATTTGGTTAAGCACATTTAAATTGGATGGTGAGTGAGCGAGAAAGAGAGAGAGAAATAGCGAAATAACAGAACAATAGAGGTAGTGTGATAATGAAATTGCCCTTTTTCCCATTTCAATGGAATAAAAAAAGGAAAATGTCTTTTTTTTGGCACACAACGATGATAATAAAAAAAAAAAACAAGAAAAATTCACGGCACAGAAAAAAAACACACACAAAATGAAAATGGTTGATTATCTGCTAATGTGCCCAGGTATTCATCGAATTATGCAAATTATACACAGCGCATAAGAATCTAAATGTAATCTATATTATTTGTTGTTGTTTTTTTAAGACAATCATTTATTCTCCCTCATCGCATTTTGATAAAGCAAAAACATTTGGTTGATTATTGATTTGTGAGAAATTCATAGAAACAGAGAGAAACATTGATAGAGAGAGAAAGAGAGACTCAATCGTCTGCCTGACAGATTGATAGATTCAGATAAATGTCACTGGACTCATCGTGATTAAAGCATTTGTTTGAAACGTAGAAATAATCTGAATTAGATGAACGTGTTGATTGATAATAAATGTCAAATTGTTTATCAAGCGGAATGGAATTGGAGAAATAGGAAGAAAATGTGCAAAGAATAACTGTACATTTGATTGTCCGAGAATGAATGTGA